AGTAAATATGGTATGTATCATTGCGCGACTTGTCAGACATGGTTCTTGACCATGCAAAACACTGTCTACCTGAGGTAGTTATTCCAAATACGAAGCGACAGAACTACCTTTTTTTTCCCACTATTTGGCTTTCATATCACACATTTTGCATGATCCATCCTGCCGTCTTACGGAAGTAGTACACTCGGGACAAGTATTCTGCCCGGTCATTTTTATGTTATATTGAGTGAATGTTAGGGTTTGGCAAGGTGGGTGTGCAGCACAAATTAAATGTGTCATGCTGGTTATCCCACTGCGAAGTGAGTGGTTTCTCGTCTGTGTTCATACAGCAACATCAACTACATTGACCACCGTGTTGAGCCAAGCTACAAGGCTAATTGTTTTGACCAAACCAACCATACTAAAATGTGATAATGAAGCGAAAAGAGCACAGGCGACTACTTGAGTGTTGCTTAGTTTTTGGATGTTAACGATCAGAGCCGTAGTCACAAACTTATCTCGAGAGCACTTGCATCAGATAGAAGCCGGAGAGAGACAGATGGCGAAGGCGGGCTTGTGGCAAAATAACATACTTTATCACACCAAACAAAATGGCAAACGGTAATCTGACACTCAGAATTCATTCCCCAAAATGAAACTAGTATGTGCACAATAATTGGCTATAAAAGCGAAACCGGAACTAATACGAATCCAAGACAAGTTCAGTCATAAGCCTAAACTGTCTCTAGCTAACACGGAGGAAGGAAAGGTAGGAGAAGCCCTGACGTCACTCGTGAAGCTGGGATGGAGCCAGAAGTCGGCCATATTGACTGGGCAAATTCTCCTCTCTTGTTTACATCCGATTGTAAAGCAGAAGGCACGACTCTTTCTCCGGCTCAGAAAGCACATCAGCTGCGCAGCGCTCGTGTCGTGACGATCCCAAACTAATGGAACGGGGCTCAACACTCTGGGCCAGCGCAACACCTTCGGCGAAATCATTTCGTCCGAGTATCAACATCGAGTAACAGCTCACCGACAACGAAGCAAGTACAAGAGAACGCGCGGTAGATTCACTGACAACGAGTGTTTTCACGTCATTAATTCAGCAAATGTATAGACAACACGATTGGTCCTGCGCCTTCTACAATTGCATTCTGCCACGTGGCCGACGTAGCGTCGGGCCACTGTGTCCATGTTCTGCGTGAAACTCACTGGCATCAGCATTCTGCGACCGTGGTGACTTTTAGCACGGTGCAAGTGACACTTGATTGCGGTTGCTGTTGCGTTGAGATTACATGCAATGCTGGGGGAGAGCATACGAAGCGCAACATAAAAGGTGTTTTAATATGACATGCAAGTTGTTACTGTACAAACACAACACAAAACTACGTATGTGCACATGGTCCTCAATGTGTCTTACTGGGCTCAACAGTGTCGTCAATTGTCACAAGCAGGAGCACTGCCCAACCGTCACTGACCTGCAAGGCGTTCGTTGTTCTGCTTCGTCATGGTGCCCAACGCAATTTCGCTGAACACTACTTGCTTCATCCACGCCATCCGCCACACGACACATGGATATGCACTCGTTCTACACACTGTTGAAACCCCAAGACGGACAAAATGATTTGTAAACGTTGCTAAGAGTACAGTAACTGCCAAAAGAACACTGCGTAACCAATAACGCGGCGCAGAGCATGGATATTGTCCGCCACAGCTCAGCACGAGACCTGGGGAGGCATACATGCCGCCTCTAGCCGCAGCCGCTCACTGCTAGACCAGCTCCACTATGTAATACGTAACCATAGCAACGCTGCCATTGTGCCCAGTGAATATTGCCGCCATGATGTCATTTCTTCCACACTTTTCACGTAGCGCACCGGCTGGGCATACCCTCTTCTACCTTTCCTTCCTCCGTGCTAGCCAAGATGGCGTCTCAGTGGCTGCTCTCATGCGCTGTTGTAATAATAGAACATTCTTACTGTTCATATGCCACCCTCAGAACTACGATGAAGTGGTACCGCCTCGCCATCATCGTCATTGGCACGCGTCCGCTTGACAATCCTCTCGTCTGTATTTCCGGTGTCTTGGTCTTTGTCTCTATTTTCGGTTTCGCTAGGCCCCGCTTATCAAGGACCCCCCGAATGACGCATCCGCTCATCTCACTGGTGTGGCCTGCTCTCTTCCTAATTTGATTACGATGTAGGGAAGTTGCAAGCCCACCAGAAACTGCTGGGCAGGATGCAGCAAGTCCGGGCAGCTTCACTCGAGACCATCTACGAGGTCGACGGCCACTTTTCGAGCTCTTCGTTTTGACATCCTCAGAACCGAGCGTTCACGCTGCTCCGGTCGCGGTACTGATGCTCATTTGCTACATCTTCACAGCTCCGCATCCCAACACACACTGCCAGCTCTTCCTTTGTAATTTTTCTTCTCAGCTCGGGTCGCCTGCCACAAGCCTTTCTCCGAGCAATCTCTTGCGTCTATGTGGCTGGTGGACATGCACCCGAGTGATTCTCTTCTCCTCGTGCACCCTGCCTTCACTTTTGACACGCGACTGGTGCCCCCCTTTACTCATCACACCGTAATTGACCGCTTATGTTTGGTCATCTGTATAACCACATCCAATTGTCTTTTGGCTGGGTGGTACACTGGGCATTTCAGCTATTGCGACACTTGCCGATATACAACTTGTCACGTAACACAAGCAATGTACCATCATGCAACCGCAAAGGTTCTGCGCTAGGTGATGCATGCTGCTAACTTATTCAGACGGTAGTTTCCATTTTTTTTTTCCGTAGTTCTTAGAACAACCAAAAATGGCACAGTGGCTTCCCATTGACCCTCCGCTAGCTGACATTGCAATAAAAGAGAAAAATTTCTGCAATTCCACTTAAAACATGTTAAAATTGTTCTAAAATGCCAGACGTCTCCTTGTACTTCAGCAATGGGAAAGTGAGCCTTGGTTCTGTGGGAACAACATGAACAGTAAGGGACTCGATGCATGCACAACAGTAGGAGAGTAGCCACATAAGGCTGGCTTAGGGATAGAGTTCACCCTAGTGCAGCTTATTGTTAGTTTTAACATGATAGCGTTAGAGAGCTCGTGTCGGAGAAATTCCGCCGTTGGCGTCGGCACTGTTGGTTGTGAGCAAAAAATTGTCTGTGAGCGAAAAATCGAGAAAGAAGCAAACAAATAAAGAGTAAAATTTTCGGCCCCATTGAGGATTGAACCCGGCCCGTTTGCATGGCAAGTGGGTGTCTTACCACAAAGCCATAATGGTACTTGCAGCTGCTTCGGGGAAAAACACTACATAAATGCCATGCAGTGGAAGGAGTCCCCTCAGCACCTTTTGTTTGACAGGCGTCGCGGTGAAAACGAACCTATTCGGCGATTTGTAGGTGCATTTGGGAGGCCATGAAACTACATCAAAAAAGGACTGGATAGTGCAGTCATCGCCGCTAAAAACACACAGCAACTTTCAAAGAGCTCTAAAAATGGACAACTATGTCCCTCCAGCGGAAAACATATCATGGCTTTCCAGAGGCATTGATTAAGCAAACAGCAGGCCATGCTACTTTTGCTTTAGATCAAAAACCTGTATGTACCATTCGCGTGCGTGCTTGTACAATCTACGGTGTGTGTGTGTGTGTGTGTGTGTGTGCATGCGTGCATGCGTACATATATAACAAAACATATTTGTATAACAAAACACTAGGGGCAGGAGTTCGCTATTGCATTAAACTTTTTAAAGGCAAAGGTTAAGGGTCCCCCAATTTTTTGTTTCGGTTTGTAGCAGACCATTGTGTGAACCTTGTTTTTGGGGGGAATACAGTGTTTGATGATTGTTGGCCGCTTAGTTAGATAAAGTGTGCTTGCGGTCATGGTCTCTAGTCTCTGTCACTCCAATTCTTTGCAAGCACTTCCGAGATAATCGTGACACTAATAAAGATGCGAGAGTCTTCATGCATAAAGGGCACACCAGTATTCACCGAGATTCTACATTGAAGAATTGGCCATCAGGTTCCACTTTGCCAAGGCATTCATTCTGACTCTCATATCCTACACAGAACACCTAAATTTAACTGAAAGACGGCAAGGACCTTCTGTCTTTTTGCAAAGCATGCCTGATTTTCGTTTTAGTAGCACACTTGGCATGAGTGGAATAACTACAGTTGTTTCACAATGCCGGTGTGCCAATGTTGCTTAACCGACCAACTCTTCTGCTCAACTGTTGTGATATTTCAGGTGGACTAAACAAACCTGGAGAAACTGTGGTAATAATACGTTTTTGGACAATTTGCATGCTTTAAACTACCACTGCAGTATTTGTTGTATTATAAAACTGACCTCGATGAAGTCTGCAAGAACTACACACAGTTTTAGTTTTCGAGTTTTGCTGGCACTGCAATCGCAGTCACCTGCACAAGCCAGTGTTGTGGACATTCATCACATCAATGGATAAAGAACGAACGCAGAAAAAAAGCTGTGTTTCAAATATTTCTTCTGACTTTACAGAGAAACTGTTGCAAGGTTGGACCCTTTTAAACGGAAAGCTTCTTATTGCGATCAAAAACAGGGAGAGCGATAGAAGACGATGAACAGTTTCTTATGGAAGCTCTGCTGTCATTACAGATGATCCCTATTCTCATGCAAGTGCACTACCCCCCTGACAGCAGTCGGCATATTTTATTTTTCAAGTACAATGCAGACATATTCACCTTGTCTACGCATGATGTGTAAAGCAGCCCGATGGGTTCCTCGGCTATTAAGCCAACGTTTTTGCTTTTCACTTGATTTTAAAGATTACATTAATTTCTTTACAGCACTCTGTTCGATGTTGCCACAGGCAATGCTCTTGCTTTCGGATTGATTTTATTTATTACATTGATTTCTGTATATCGATCTTCCTGAAGTAGCAGATGGATGGAGAGATCTTGTCGTTGCGCAAGCATAACCTGCCCATTTAAACGATGAACATTCCACTGTTGCATTGACATATTCTCTCCCACCTCTGGCGCAGGTGGCATTTCGTCTGAAGCACGACTTCACAAACATGGTGGTGCAGCTGCATGCCGAGCCCCGAAGGCCTGAAGTGGTGTGGATGACGCACACCTTGGTGGTGAACCTGGGCACTCGCTCTTATCGGCCGCCACCTGCCTCGGCGAAATCACCGCACATCCAATAAAAAATCTCGAAGTTCTATTTGCTCGCCTTGACTGGCAGTCTCTGTATAGGCTACAGTGGGAGAATAATAAAGGTGTGGACCTTCGCAAAAATGCTTCAAGCTTACCAATGCATAATCATTAAAATGTTTTTTTCCTTCACTCTACTACCGGGTAGGAAAACTATGTAGTCACGCTACGGAAAGTTACCATTGTATCCTCCACCAGATGAAGAACATTCTCCAAATGTGTGGAGAGATGCAATCACGAGGAAGAATCGAGGCCTTTAGTGAACATATTTTGTCTGTGAAAGACATTTCAATCCCAAACTCGTATTTCAGTGTGCATCGGTGGCTCCACTCTAGCCCGGCAGCCTGGCCGCAGCGGGCTAACTCATGCGTTGGTGAAATACGCACGGCATTCGCATCCTGCCCATGCCCGTCTCAACATTGCGGTCTTTATTCGCTTGGCAAAGCATTGTGGCGCTCACTCGCTTTCGAAAAATTTGATCGCGGGGTGATTTTTCTCTAACTGCTTCTAAGGGGTCTTTAGGTGCCTTCTTTTGCTGTGGTTGTTCACGATGAGGCACACCCAGGCTTTCTCCTATCATCGTCATCACTTTGTATGCTTTTTGTGGCGGTGAGAGTATGTAAAAATTAGTTTAGCTACGAAAATGGAGCAATGAATACAATAGCAAGAAATTGTAATATTGACACAAGATAGGCTGGAAACTATAGTGACCAACCTCTGAGGAGGATAACGAAGTAGTTCTGTGGGCGCGTGCTCTGGTGTTCGTGCTTTTGCCTTTGGTCACGAAAATAAATGCCCTGCTTTTGTGCCTGCATCCCTGTGCCTCTGTGACATTTTCTGGTGGAAGGGCTGGGTACGGCAGATGATATGGTCCCCAGAGAGCACCCCTGATGCAAGCCCATCAAGTAGTTCAGCCGAGCTTACCCCTGTGCACGTACGTTCCAGCCGTCGTCTCCAGGGACTCGAGCCACAGCACGGTTTGCTTCCTGAACGTCAGAGGACTACGAACCAAACACCACCTAACGTCACCGCACCAGCACTAGCGCACCTGGTTGTCAACCAGCGCAAGACGCCGAAGACATTTCACGGAGCTGCTTTTGAAGATGCCGACGACTGGCTCGAACATTTCGACCGGGTCGCCGTCATCAACGATTGGACCCCAGAGTGTAAGCTACGCTATGTGTACTGCTTTCTCGAGGACTCCGTGACAACGTGGTTTGAGAACCACGAAGCAACGCTTACGTCATGGGATGAGATTCACTGGCAGTTTCTCAAGGCCTTTGCCCGAGAGGACAGGAAAGAGACAGCGGAGCTGCTATAGAAGCAAGGGTTCAAGGCCCTAACGAAAAGGTGACGACGTACATAGAGGACATGGATAGACTTTCCAGGCGTGCGGAGCCCTCTATGACCGAATCCAAGAAAGTCCGTCACTTAATGCGTGGTGTTAAAGAAGAGATTTTCGCGGGCCTGATTCGAAACCCACTTGCGACACTTGCGGAGTTTCATGAGGAAGCCATTGCCATGGAGAGGGCCCTTCAACAGCGTGCCAGGCAGTATAACCGGGGTGTACATCCAAGTGAGGTAGCTTCTGTCACTCACGGCAATGACATCAGCGCGTTGCGAGAGCTCATCAGAGCTCTCATTAAGGAGGAGTTACAAAAGATGCAGGTGACTGCTTCACCTGTAGAGCAGCTCTCCATTGCGGAGATGGTACGCGCCGAGCTACGGCAAGCCGTTCACGCTCCCCCACAGTCCGAGGCGCTACAACAGAGGCAATGCGTCGAAATGAGCTATGCGGAAGCAGTGCGACGTCCTCCGTTGTGCTGTTCACCCAGCGTGTTTTACCCAAATGAGCGACGCGCTCAGCAAATGGAGGTAGGCTTCCGTCCTCGCAGCCCGCCGTTGATCGCCGAAGCACAATCGAGGAAGAGTGACATCTGGCGTGCACCCAACCACAGGCCCCTTTGTTTCCACTGCGCCGGACACGTCTACCAAACATGTCCATACCGCCGTGTGGGTCTCCGTGGATTCTTGCCTAGCGACCACTGGAAATAGAGAGCTTTATCTCGAATCGACGCAGTATCGAACATCCGTCGCACGAGCCACGCTCGTCGTCGCCTGCTCGCTACAGGTCACCAAGCCCAGCATATTCACGGGGCGCTCCGAGACGCCGTTCACCCAGTCCTGCAAGTCGGGAAAACTGAGTTAAGCGACCTCCGGAGGTGAGGCCGCTGATGCTGACTCTACGAAAGATCCTCCACTACGACGACAGCGCCGGCAGCAAAAAGATGTACAGACGCAGTCAAACATGGTACGAAGAGTAGTGACATCAAACATTGCGGTAACCGTGGACGACGAAGAAGTAATGACACTAATTGACACTGGAGCAAACACGTCCGTTATGAGCAGGAGTCTTGCCTGCAGGCTGAAGAAGGTTTTTACCCAGTGGGCTGTGTCACAGATACGTACAGCAGGAGGCCATCTTCTCACTCTGGTGGTACGGTGCACAGCGCAAGTCAGTATTCATGAATTTACGTATCTAGGAGAATTTGTAATACTGCCCAGTTGCTCGAGGGACCTGATTCTCCGGCTGGACTTTTTGCACGATAACGGAGCCGCGATTGACTTGCAAGAGTCGCAGGTGACGTTTTCCACGGCACACCCTTTTGCGCGCAACCCTCACGACAGTTACGTCAATGCTTTGAGAATTGTCAACGATGACCTCTCGTTACCGCCGAAGAGTAGCGTGTTGACCTTGGTAACCTGTGACGTTTTCGATGAATTCAATGACTCTGAAGGTATTGCAGAAGCAAATATCCCGCTGCTGCTCAAACGAAATATCTGCGTAGCCCGGTGCCTTGTTCGGTTAGAGAATAAACGCTCTCAAGTCCTGCTGACCAACTTCAGCAATGAGTTTCAGCACGTCCCTAGAGCCAACACTGTCGCTTTCCTCAGTGCAATCGCCGACTTTTCCGATGTCAGCGCATTGGATACGACTTCACCGCATGCAAAACCTTGTGCTGACCTGGGCAGCCGCATTCACTATTATTCCAGACTTGCCAAATTCACGAGAAGAGAGGCTGCTGAACCTTGTGACGGAATTCTTGGACTGCTTCTCCACAGCATCTAAAGTTCAACGTACTACTGTTACAAAACACCGCATTGTTACTGAGGAGTCGGCATGGCCTGTTCGCCAACATCCATACCGTGTGTCCCCGAAGGAAAGAGAGGTGATTAAGCGTCAAGTACAAGAAGTGCTGAATGATAATGCCATTCAACCCTCGACCAGTCCGTGGGCATCACCTGTTGTCCTAATAAAGAAAAAAGACAACACACTACGCTTCTGCGTCGACTGCCGATGGCTTAACAAAGTCACAATACGCGACGTTTACCTCCTGCCACGGATTGATGACGCCTTAGACAGTCTACGCCATGCCCAGATCTTTACATAATTAGATATCAAGTCGAGGTACTGGCAAATTGAAGTTGGCTAGGACGACCGTGAAAAAACTGCATTCGAGACTCCCGACGGGCTCTACGAATTTAAATGCTGCCTTTCGGTCTCTGTTCCGCTCCCGCCACATTTCAACGCATGATAGACACTGTACTTGCTGGACTAAAGTGGCAGACACGTCTTGTATACTTGGATGATGTCGTGCTTTCAAGCACGTTTGACGAACATCTTTCAAGGCTAAAAAGTGTCCTCACTGCAATAAGGAGAGCAAACCTTACTATCAAGCCCGAAAAGTGCTACTTCCCTATCGAAAAAAAAAAAAACGAATGGTGGGCATGGCGTGAACCACCACCCACCATTATAGTGGATTAATGTAGTGGGTGAATGGTGGGAAACACCCACCATGGCGCATGGTGGGATAAGGTGGGTGCTGCATGGTGGATAAGGTGGGTGCTTTTACGGTTGAGCGCGAAATGACGTCAGAATCACCGTGACGAGCTGCAACAAAAAATAAAAAAGAATTCTATAAAAACGGTGTAAAAAACACCCGTCGCGTAAAAAAAAAAGGCGCCACGGAGGATCGAACGTTCAGCCTGCAGATTCCCATTCGAAGACGCTAACCACTGCGCAAAACCAACATGACGTTGATTTTGTGTTAAATACTCAGTTGGCATGCAAACTTATGGTTCAAATTGAGGTATGTTTGTCGTGTACACAACATAGACAAGATCTACACATGATACTAAAAATTGCACATTTATTAAACACAAGCAACTGTGGCCTGTAACGATTGCCACTATGTTAATGGCACTAGTGCTATTTTTTTTTTTTTACAATTCACAACTTCAAGAAAAAACCAAGTGGGCTGGGGAGCAGCAACAGTTTACCGACGGGGTCTGCCAAGTTTAATATTTGTTTCGCGCTCGTTCTGAAGGGCGACATCTGCTCACGCTTTATGGCACTTCTAGGCTCATTCCATAAATACGCCCGCCTAATTTATTTGATTGAGTATTGGGATGTTTTTCGCGCAATGTAGAGGGTGGTCGCGCCAGCGCAATGCTGTAGATCTTTCGCTAAAGCAACAACTACATAACGGCTTGGCCAAAACGAATGCAGTGTGCCGGAAACATTACGCTATCATATTGGTTCACCAAGCATACGAATTGCCACGTCTGAGTTCTCGTACAAAAGCTAGAGAAGTGCCGGCGAGTGCGACCGGCGGCTGTCGGTGAGAAGACACTTAATTACGTTCTCTGGGAGTGCTTTAATCGCGTCGCATCTATATTTGTTGCTTCTTGAGCGGACATCATACACAATGAAAAATGCTTCATTTAGGTTAATTGATGCCATGGCTGCGCTGTATTGTCATACTTAATCGTCGAAATCGTGTATTCTGAAACCCGGAAGCATGGATAACACAATTGTACGGGCTCGGTCGGTAGGCCTAACCTTTGGTGGAAATCATGGTGGTAGAACATGTAGTGTACAGATCCTAGCTTGGTACACTATATAAATTGCCCGCCATTATAAGCCCACCCATCATCTGCTTACTGCTTCCCAGCATTATCGCGATGGTGGGCAGAGCTTCTCAGCTTGGTACACCATGTGGCCCACCATAACAAGCAGCACCCATCATCTGCTTAGTGCTTCCCAGCATTATCGCAATGGTGGGAAGAGTTTCTC